TTTGGTTACTCGCAGGATCGATCAGATTGATCCTATGGACATAGGTTGATTTTGAAGTTTGATTAAGGTGGATAAGGCTTTAAATTAAAGGTTTCAAGTAAATTGCATAAAGGAAAGACTTGGTGAAATAAACAAGGCTTTAAAGTAAAGGTTCGACAGGAAATGTAAAGAGAAAAGCAAGTAAAATTCTGGGAAAGTAAATGACTTTAATTGATAAAATTGGTGTTTCACACATACATTTCTCAACAATTCTTTCTCACACGCTGGGTACTTGAATCTAAATGAGTGACTATGTATAGAATTGTGAACACACGCGAGAAACTACATGTCTACTCCTATTTATACTAAAACATTCCAAGTAACCGTCGGGCAGTTACGCTGCTTCGAGATCAATCCACTTGGCACGTTCTCCATGCTCGACGCTCCAGATCCTTGCACGTTTGCACGTAGTAACTGCTGGAAACCGTTTTCCCTCCAAACACTTGAATTTCAAACTGCTCCACTCTGGACCATCGAACACGTTCGTCAAGAGACATCTTCGATGAAAACTCCTTCGACGTCGAAGGCAATCAGCCTTCTTCCTTGGAAGAAATCTTCTAAGTATTTTGCCATCTTTCGACAGGCACTTCAACAGACTTAGCCAGTCGAAAGCATCTTTCAGCTTTTAATGGCTGACGTCAATCAAAACAAAGGTGTCGAATTTAGGAGCCAACAGATGGGAGGAGACTTACAACATACAGTATAGGTGCAGAGTAGGCGCAGGCTAGGTGGCAGCCTAGGGGTTACATATCTGCATGCATGTATCACGATTAGACAGTAAGGGAGGCGCCATTGGACTTGGCGAAAGAGTACAAAAATGAATGGTGTCGCCACCCCAATTGGCGAATAAGAGGTGTCCTTTGTTGCAGGCTAGGCTCAGGCTACGTGACAGCCTTTGGGATGCCTTGCATGTAACACTATTGGCAGCCTCGGGGGTTGCATCCTTACTTAATTGAAATTTTTAGTCTTACGTTTATCATAACATTCATTCACTTAATCTGTCAAATCTTCCAACCTTCAAACATTCTTACAATCAAACCTTCAAACCTTCAAACAATCAAACATATAAACTTTTGAATCACTCATAAAGTTCAAACATTCCAACCTTCAAACCTTACAGCATTCAAACCTTCATACAATCAATAAACCTCAAACATTCCAACCTTCGAATCACTCATAAAATTCAAACATTCCAACCTTCAAACCTTAAAACAATTCTACGCAATGGCCTCTGCACCACAATTTGTCGTCAAAGCACATTTCAACGGTGAGACATACATTTGTCCCACCACTGGGTTTTTATTTAAAGACACAGACAACATCCGATTTCTCTTAAACGGGAAAGCCAATTTCTCGTACTTCAAAAAAAGATTGGAGGCCAAACTTGAACGAGGCCCGGTGTCCCAGATATTTTATCAGAATCCAGTTTTCTTTGGAAACAACCAAGTAGTTTTTTATAAGGTTGAAGTTCAAGATGACGAGGATCTCCAGAATATGTTTTCCAGCCATGTCTATTCTGGGTACGACTCTATTGAGTTGCACGTTATGCTGCGAGAGCCTCAGGTGACACAAGAGGTTGATTCTTTGGAGAATGAACAAGCTGAGGTAGATGCAGTTGATGATGAAGAAGAAGATAACGAATTATAGTTTGATGAAATGGTGAATGATGATTCCAACGATGATGGCATCCCTAATATTCCTGCAAACAAAATCTACACACCACCTCCGCACATGACAAACTTCAACATGGGCGGAGATGAACCTTCTACTGACTTATTTTTCAATCCGTATATGCAGTCGAATGAAAATTTAAAAGATAAGGACAAGTTTCGTAATAGAGAGGAATGCATCAGGGCCATTAAAAAATTCCACATGCTCAACTCAGTTAATTTTAAGGTGGATCGTGTCAACCCGGAAAGGTACAAGATCAAGTGTGTCCACCCTGACTGTATGTTCAAGCTGACCACATCATACAAGATTAAGGGGTGACTGCTGGGTCATAGGTTCCATGACTACCCACACTTGTGTAAGTTCCACTCAATCACAGGACCACCGAAAACTCAACTATGATCTCATCTGTCAAGAAATCCTACCCTTGGTCAGCAACGACCCATCTTTGAAGGTGAAAACAATCATCTCCCACATCACCACGGTTTTTAACTACACTCCGTCTTACCGTAAGGCGTGGTTAGCAAAGACTAAGGCGATTGAAAGGGTGTACGGAAACTGGGAGGAGTCATACCAAGAACTTCCCCGCTACCTGAATGCACTCAAGACGTATTCTCCAGGTAGTGTTTACGTTCTGGAAACAGTGCCAGCATACGCCCAAGATGGTATTCTACTAAATGGCAACTGAATATTCAGTCGCGTGTTTTGGGCATTTCAACCATGCATCACAGGGTTTGCATCATGCAAACCAATTATACAAATTGATGGGACTTGGTTGTATGGGAAGTACAAAGGCATGCTACTGATGGCAGTTGCACAAGATGGTAACAACAACATTTTCCCCATTGCCTTTGCCCTTGTCGAGGGGGAGACCGGTGGTGCTTGGAGCTTTTTCCTAAAAAATCTGCGGACACACGTGGCTCCTCAACCAGATCTCTGTTTGATCTCAGACAGACATGCCTCCATTGAAAATGCCTACAATAATCCAGCAAATAGTTGGCATGACCCTCCTTCTACGAATGTCTATTGCGTTAGGCATATCGTCCAGAACTTCTCGAGGGAGATCAAGGACAAAATATTGAGGAAAGCGGTTATGAATGCGGGATATGCATTGACACAACCCACATTCAAATATTACCGCAACGAGATCCGTTTGTCAAATCTGGAAGCCGGTAGGTGGATCGACAATATTCTGGTGGAAAAATGGACTAGGTCATACGATAATGGCCAAAGATGGGGGCATATGACAACTAATCTTATTGAATCAATGAATGGGGTATTCAAAGGCATACAAAACCTCCCAATCAATGCCTTGGTAAAATCTACGTATTTTAGGATGGCTGCGTTATTTGCCAAAAGAGGTGAAATATGGAATGCGGTGTTGCAATCTGGACAACTATGGAGTGAAAGCTGCATGAAATACATTAAGGCTGAAAGTGCTAAAGCCAACACTCATATGGTTATACGGTTTGGCCGACACAACCACAACTTCATTGTGAAAGAGACAATCGACCACAATGAAGGCCTGCCAAGATAAGAATATAGGGTCATGCTACCTTCTCAATGGTGCGATTGTGGCAGGTTTCAAGCATTTCGTATGCCTTGCTCTCATGTCATTGTCGCTTGTGCTCATACCCATCAAGACGCGCTGCAACTTTTGTCAAACATTTACAAATCTGAAACGTTGCTCAACGTTTACAACAACAACTTTCCTTTGGTAGCAAAACCAGATTATTGGTCTGCATACGATGGCGAAATAGTGTGGCACAATGACCAAATGCGAAGGAACAAGAAGGGTCGTCCCAAAAGTAAGCGCATCACAACAGAAATGGACGATCTTGACAGGTTGGAAAGAAAGTGTGGTTTATGCCGTCAGGTCGGACACAATTGCAAAAACTGTCCGAATCGGGTGTCTGGCTCAACCACATAAATATTGTAATACATAAAATCTTTTCTTAATTGTGTTGTAAACATTTGGGTTTTTCGTTAACAAATTTTGCTACAATTAATAAAACGCGTACAAGAATAATTAACGATATTCCCTCTACGAAATTACAACTGTTAACACAATTTCATCTGACCCATGCATCATCAACATTACATCGCTGTCTATTTGACTTCCTCCAACCACACATTAGGTATTCCTGTCGCATGTGAGGTTGTTGTTCATTTTCGCTGGATCCTTCGAATTTTCCCCCCCTCCGCAATGTCTCCATCTAGCCATCGCATCAACTCCCGCTTCAGACGCTCCATGGAGTGAATGTGCCAAAATTTCATTTTCATCGCAGGTTTCGTGGCGGAGAAGATAACGTAACCATCTCTGCTAAAAATCATAGGCGACGTCATGACGCAAATAACAGAGTACAAAATAAAAATACAGTGCGAGAAAGTGTGAGAAATTTCAGAGAAACAGACGAATTATTTATAAAACAACATTTTGCCCTAGTTTTGCCCTAGGAGCCAAGTGAGATGACGCCTCCTCTCACTTTTAAGGAGCATGCGCCATCTCACTTGGCTAAAAGCCAAGGGAGGCGTCAAGTGAGATGGCGCCTAGGGCAAAATTGTAGGTGCATGCGCCATTTCAGATGGCTCCTCCTTTGGGGAGTCATCTAAAACATAGTTATTTACGTAATTTTTTTCAAAATTCGGTTATTTGCGAAATATTATTTTAATACATAATTATTAATAAAAAAATTTCGATCATGTGAGCTGTCCAAAACAAGAAGAAAATTATAAGTTAAATATATCCGAAAACAAAAACTTATCCTTCATTCAGAATTTGGTTAAGTTAAACAGACACCTTAAAAACGCATTAATGGTAAGCGATGTCGATTAAAAAAAGGCTAGTATAAAGTAAATTTCATCATACTTAAAATAGGGCATTAACTAGAAAGAACACCCTTGAATTAAATGCTAGATGGTGATAAATAAATAAACCAACAGAACAGGTAGGAGTAACACCTCTCTCTCAATAATAAATGTCTCCATCTACCAACTGCTACATGAGTTAGCGCCAACAACACATCATGTTTCTTTCTACTTGTCTCTCACACGCTTGCCTCGTGCGAGATAACTAGTTGTGTCAAAAAAGTGTGTAAATGCGGTAGTTATGGTAAGCTCAGATCAATTGTTAATGGTGGGCTCTACACACTTTCTCTCTCTACAGACAGCTATTAGAGAGAGAAACCTTGCTGCAATAGTCCCCACTTACTTTTGAATCTTCTTTCACTCTTCCTTTTTGATCTCTCATATTATGCTCATTTTTCATCTTCAAATGCATACACTCTTGTGATATGAAGAACTTTAATATGTTGCTCTTGTTCATTCTTCTTCTTTGTAAGTCCTTCTTAGTTCTTGCTATTTCGTTGCTTATTCATCTGTTTCTGTGATTGTTGATGAATTGATTTGTTGGTTTAGTTTGGAGGAATTCATGTAGGTTTGGTGATTTCTAAAGTTGGGTTTTTTGTTTTGTTTTTGGAGAGATGTTTTGTTGGTGTTTGAAATTTGAGCATTACTAAATTTGGATTTCGGTGTGTGAATTTCATTGTCTTTTGATTGTTAATGATGGATTTTGTTTGGTTCTTGGTTTCATGAACACTACTACTTACTTGCATTATTCTATGTTTGTGTTTCTCTTGCTGTTGATTTCTAATGTTTGTTATTATGAGGTGGGAGGCCATAGTTAGGGTTTTGGAATTATTTTAGAGTTCTGATTAGATTGACTTATTTGAATTTATCTAGTGACTTAAGTTTTGCGAGACTGTTTGGGAGAACTTATGTAAACATCTTATGACATTGTTTATAAGCTGTTTTCAGCTACTTTCCATAAGTTTACCAGGGTAGGTGATGAAGATAGGTTATAGCTTACATAAAAGCAATTTAAGTTTATTTTATCTTTTACTATGGAAATAGCTTATACATAAGTGCTTATCATGTCAAGATAAGCACTATAAACTTCAAATAAGTTGTTTATCTAAACAGGGTCTTATTGTAGTTATTGTTGACCTTTGATCATATTGGTGAAGGAGGTTCTATGATCTAGGCCTTATCGCCAACATTTAAGTGCTTATCATGATGTATATTGAAGTTTACTTTAGTCATTCGTGAAGTTTATTTTTGCTTATTTGTATTTTGGCACAGGTTCGCGTGAATCCCATGGCAGTAGTGTTGATCACACTCAAGGTCACATTCAATTGGATAACCGCATGGGTTCCATGCTCCCTCAAATCACACCAGTTGGTGCTCCGCGAGGATTGCAACCCTTTCTTCCTTATATTGCGCCTTCACCATTGACTCCATTCACCAATATTACCACCCCAAAGTTATCAGGTCATTTTCTAAATAATCTCTCTGGTCATTATGGATTTTCAATGATCTCTCTTTCTCACTGTCTTTCTCGATGTTTTTTTCAGGACTCTGCACTTTGAACTTCACCACTGCCAAACGTTTGCTAAGCATGACGGCTATTGATTGCTGGGGATTTTTTGCGCCTTTTCTGGCTAACGTAATCTGCTGTCCGCAATTGGAAGCCACTCTCACTGTTCTCATCGGTCAATCCAGTAAATATACCAACGTACTTGCCTTAAACGGGTCCGATGCTAAACATTGCCTTTCAGACGTGGAGCAAATTCTAATGGGGCAGGGTGCAAATGGTGATCTGAAGCAAATATGTTCAGTTAATTCTTTGAATCTCACGGAGGCATCTTGCCCGGTAAAACACGTGAATGATTTTTACGACACGGTGAATACTACTAAGCTGCTTAGTGCTTGTGAGAACATTGATCCCGTGAAAGAATGCTGCTCCCAATATTGTCACAGTGCTATATTAGAAGCAGCTACAAAAATTGCATCAAAAGGTTCTAATGTTTTGGACTCAGACACATCACATATTCTACCTGAACACTCAATTCGGGTCAATGATTGTAGAAATATAGTACTCCGGTGGATAGCTAGTAAGCTTAATCCGTCTCATGGAAAGGAAGTTCTAAGAGGACTGTCTAATTGCAATATCAACAAAGGTAATTCGTTTGAGGAAAATGTTATATATTTTCCTTCGTGACAAACGTCAAATAGATTGTGTTTCTGTTGCATAATTTTTGCTGAAATCTTCTCTCTTTTCTGCCAGTTTGTCCACTTGTTTTGCCTGATGCAAAGCATGTTGCCCAGGGGTGCGGCAATGGGATAAGTAACAAAACAGCCTGCTGTGATTCCATGGAAAGCTACGTGTCTCACTTGCAGAAGCAGAGTTTCATCACTAACTTGCAAGCTTTGGATTGTGCCGAAACTTTGGCAATGAAATTAAAAAAGGCAAAAATTGTCGATGATGTTTATAGCCTTTGTCACATAAGCCTTAAGGATTTTTCACTCCAAGGTTTGTTTTTCTTCTCTCTTCACATCAGGTTGCAACACAACAACACTTAATGCATATAAATTTCATGTCTGATGTTAATGTTTCATTTTTTCACCCTCCTTGTTCAACTTGGTGTGGAAATCAACAATGTGGATGCTTCAGTTGCAAATCAAGGTAACTACATAACGTTGTATATCATTATATATACTATTTGCAAGTATCGCCCGTAATGTGTATGTTTAATCCCTCTATCAAGAAGGTTCAGTCACATTTAATTTATCTGCACGTACGTCATGTTAACTTGCTTACGTCGTATGTCTTTAGCCCATATTATTTTATCACGTAGATTGGGCACTCGTGTTCTCCTCATTTTTTGGACTTCACACTTACTCTTGCCTGACCTCTTTTTGTTGAATCAAACTTCTGTGTAGTTTCATTTTTTTATCATAAAACAAATCCTCCATCACAGAATTCTTTAGTATGTTGTGTTTTCTTCTGCATGTATTTGGTATTTTCCTCAATTGGAAATCATAATCCTCAAGCCCATAATTATATCCGACCTTCAGGCCTTTAAATTGATCGCACTTTTAAACCTCCATCGCAAAATTCTTTAGTACGTTGAAAATATGTTTTCTTCCGTGTCTATTAAGTATTTTCCTCGCCTGAAAATCATAATCCTCTAACCCATAGTTATATCCCACCTTCAGGCCTTTAAATTTATCATACTTTTATTTATCCAAGTCTATCTTTTTTTGGGCGATTAAGAATCCACACGAGAATAAAGTAAGTGTAACAAAGATGATGGTGTTGCGTTGGATGTGTCGTAAGACTATAAATGATAAGATTACAAATGTCAATATTAGATAGAGTGTTTAAGTAGCACCTATAGTAAAAAAAATGGTGGAAAATAGACTTAGGTGGTGTGGGCACGTAAAGAGAAGACCTGTAGATTATGTAGTAAGACGAGTAGATAAGGTGGAGAAGGGTTAAACAGTTAGAGGTAGAGGAAGACCTAGAAAATCTATAAGAGAAGTTATTAAAAAAGATATCGAGATTAACGATTTGGATAGAAGTATGGTTCTAGATAGAACATTATGGCGGATGTTGATTCATGTAGCCGATCCACTTAGTAGGATAAGGTTTGGTTGTTGTTGTATCCGAATTATCAAAAGCATGGTTTGCCTCTATGAACCTTATTTCTAGAATTCTAGAAATAAGGATCACTCACCTCAAACTTTAACTTGATGTCAGTGTGCAACTTCTTCCCCTGCAAACTCATAAGAAATAGAGTCAAAATTGTTACGATTAATGATAGCAACCTAATCTGAGGAGGATCTCGATTGACAACCAGTGTTACCTAGCGACTGCAGTAACTCCTAAGTATGGGGTGTTGTACTTGCAAACACTTAGACGCTCAAGTCACAGAAAAATTGAGGTGAGTGGTGGATCACCCCTTGATCTTCATCTGGCGGTGATTATTCTAGGAGGTGTAATGTGTGTGCTGATGAAATTTGGGTGTAAACTTCCTTCTGGACAGACCTTGGCCCAATTTGGAACACAACCCTTGTATTAGAGAGTACGGTTTGCCTCTATGAACCTTATTTCTAGAATTTTAGAACAATTTCAACGCCCACCTCTTCTTTTCGTGTTCGACCTTTAAGATATTGACACAAATAAGAAACCACGTGTTCACTTAAAATCTTAAGACATTACGTATATGAGTCTTCTCAATTATAAAGTATTAAAATTCAACTCTTCCATTCAATGTCAAACTTTAACTCACATTAACACTTCACAACAAAAAGTACTAAATGTCTCTACATGCTTTGTTGGGACTAATTTGGGGATTTTCTTTTTAATTTTTGAAATGCATTTTTTATTTATTTCTACATGCTTAAAACAATTCATTTGTTCACTCTTTATTGTACACTTCCATTTAATGTTATGCTGTGAGTTGACTTGTTGCATTATACTCCCTAAACAGAATATGGTTGTCTATTACCTAGTTCGCCTTCAGACGCTGTTTTCGACCAAACTTCTGGAGTTAGCTTCATTTGTGATCTAAATGACAATATTCCAGCTCCCTGGCCTTCTACATCCCAAGGAGCTACTTCAACACGGTGCAATAAATGTACGCATATACCCTCTGAGTTGAAAACTATTTCTTTTTCATTTGTTTGACAACTCTACCTTATTGTAACTGCAGCAGCTGTCATCATACCTGCTCTTCCTGCTGCCGCTGCATCTGGTCAAAGCTGTAAGCGAACCTTTTCAATTCATTCTGCTTATTCCAGTAATCTATGAAGTTCTTAAACACTGTTTAATGAACATTATTGATATCGATGATTTTATTTTTCATGTTATGCAGGTCTCTACAGTCACAACGTGCTGATATTCCTTCTTGTCAATTTATTCTTTCTCGTGATGGCCCTCGTGTAACTTACGAGAGCTTTCTTGTTAGTTAGACGCAGCCTTACTAGTCCTTCAACGATAAGGGCTTTCGGATACATGTTAATGTCAAAGGCTAATTGGAGGTGAAGCCCGATATGTTTCTACTCTTATTGATTAATGATTATTATGTTCTTTGTGCAATAATTTTTTTGTATATACTAAATTTAGAAAGCATAGGTTATACAATAACCTGTCGAGAACTCGAGATTGAAATGTATACCTGAATTAATGTTGAAGGTGGTTTTGTAATTAGTACTTAGTGTTGTTCTGTAATGTTTAATGAATTTTCTTTAACTAGTAAACTATTTTTTATTTTTTTGCTTAGACAAATGTTGTGAGGCCAGAACATATTAAGAGGAACCGAACATAAACCAAGTTTTGACAGTCAACACTGAACTGAACCACTTGATGATAGGATGATGTTTACAAAAATGGTTTGTAAGAGACAGAATTATGTAGATTTGATCTATTATGTAGAATTGTGTTATTGAAGATTGGTTGATGGCTCTTAAGAATGATTTCATTGATGATTATGCTGAGGAAAAAACTGTCTCTGACCCGCAGTTTTTGCCAGTGCCCCACCGAAGGTTAAGTAAGTAGGACAGTGTGGATTTTGAACTAGGACAACAATCAAGCCAAGTCTTATTCTGTCAAGTAGGGTTGATTGATCAACTTTTGTTATAATGTGATATCTAAAACTATATTATTTTTCAAATCGTTAATCTCGAGATATTTTTTCAAAATTTTTATAATTTTTTTAGATTTTTCTCTACCTCTATTTGATTGCTCCCGAATATATAGGTCTTCTCTTTATAAATCTATTTTTCGCAATCTTTTCTTCTATAGATGTTACTCTAATATTCAGTATAATAATATTATTTTAATTTTATCTTGTTTAGTCCTATCACACATTTAATGGAACATTGTTATCTTGTCTAGCTTACAAATAAGAATAAAAAAAATTAAAAAAATAGAAAAATTATTCAAATATACAGTTTCAGTATGAAACAGATATCTCTCAGCTTAGAATTTATTTTGAAATTCTGAACGGTTAAAAGGTAGATACATGTGTTGCGAATATGTCCTTTAAATTTCAGCTCGATTTGGTGAATGAATCGAAAATCGTCAATTTAGTGAGATTGGTTATAGAAAAACAAGAATGAGTTTCTCTCCTCTTTTCTCTCTTTTGAATTCTTATTTTATCTCAACTCTAAATTAAAATTCCCCGCTTAAATAAGTGAGACAATAGAGCTATTCATATTTGGGTCTTTCTGCACATAGGAGGGAGCGCAAACCCAACAAATCTCTCTCTCACAACTATGTGGAGGAAATTGCCAAACCGACGATATCACAACAAGCTTCAAACTTCTCTCTTGGTAATGCTTTAATCATCATATCATATCCATTATCATTTGTATGAACTTTAACTAACTCTAACAACTTAGCACCCAAAACATCACATATCTAATGGTATTTCACATCAATGTATTTGGACCTATTATGAAAAGTTGAATTCTTACCAAGATGAATAACACTTTGACTATAAACAAATAATACATATTTGTCTTGAACAAAATCAAACTCCAGCAAAAATTTCTTCAATCATAGTACCTCTTTACATGCTTCGGTAATGGTACACACTTTTGTAATCTCGACTGGCAAGCCACAGTCCCTCCTACAAACTTAATCATGTAGTCTGAAGCAGAATTTTTAGAATCAATATCTTCATCCGTATCAGAGTCCGAGTACTCCATTAGAGTAGGCTTATTTCCTCTAAAACAAAGCCTCATACAAGTAGTGCCGTGGAGATACCTTAAAATTCATTTTACAATATTCCAATACTCTCTACTTGGATTGGACAAAAATCTACTTATTGTACCAACAACATGTGCTATATTTGGTCTTGTATACACCATTGCATACATCAAACTACACACAACAAGCACATAAGGAACACGTTTCATATCAAACGCTTCAACTTCATATTGAAGGAATTTGATTAGAACTCAACTTGAAATTAGTAGCAAGAGGAGTGCTTACCGCCTTAGAACTTTCTATTTTGAATCTTTGCAACACTCTTTCAATATAAGTTCTTGTGACATTCAAAGTTCCTTCTCCTTTCTGTCATGCATGATTCTAATGCTAAGGATTTGTTTAGCTTCTCCCATGTCTTTCATGATAAATGACTCTCTCAACTTCTTCTTTAACCTGTTAATGTTAAAAATATTTTTCCCTACAATAATCATATCATCAACATATAGCAATAGGATAATGAATTCATCATTAAAAAAAATTCTAACAAAGACACAATGATATGAAGTAGTCTTCTGGTATCCTTTACCACACATAACAGACTCAAACTACTAGTACCATTGCCTTGGAGCTTGCTTTAACCCATATAGACTCTTTATCAATCTTCTTTGCCTTTAACTTGAAAGCCATCGGATTGCTTTATGCAGATCTCTTCCTCCAAACCACCATGAAAAAAAGTCGTTTTCATATCCATTTGCTCAATCTCTAAATCAAGAATAGCATCTAAACTCAACATAATTCGGATTGATGACATCAAGGCCGACCCAAGGGTAAGGTGGGCTAGGCTCTCTCGCCATGGGCCTTAAGAATTTTTTTTCTTAAAGGTGATTTAGGCCTCACATAAATAATAAATAGTTGCTTTCTTATCTTAGTTGGTTTGCAAGTGATTTTCTTAGGTGAAATGTCTTGTGTTCAACTCTTATAGAACTATAAAACAGAAAATTTTACTATTTTTTTATTAGAATTAATGGCTTTTTAGATTTTTTTTAAACATTGTTTCATTCTTTAATTAGGAAAAAATATTTCTCTAGAGTAATTTGAATATATAAATGATTATTGGATAACCTTTTTTATATAATCATAATACAAACATAATATTTAATTTTAAATTAAATATATTTTTTAATCCCTACCTTATATAATAATTAAAACATGATATAAACTAAAATTATATTTCTCATAATTTTAATTTAAATAAAATTTTGATAATATAAATTTTATTATTTAAATAATTTTTATTTTTAATTTTGTATAATTTATTTTTACTTGTGTTACTCTTGCTTATATAAAAGCTTTAAAAAATACGAATAAACGATTTTATTTTAACCAACAAAATATGTGAGAGTTGACAACATGACTCACCGTGTAAAGAGAATTTCATTTCAATTTCTTATTTTAAAAGATAATTCAACCTTAGTAAAAATATAAATATTTAACTACCAAAATTAACATTAGTTTCATAATAGATTCCAAAGAAATTAGTCATAAAAAATCTTAAAACTTCTTCTAAAAATCAAATATTTAATTATAATGGATGAAAAAAAGCCTCGTTTTAATAGTCGCCTTAGGCCTCACATTAAATTGAGTCGACCCTGGATGACATCTTTACAACAAGTGGGAAAATCTCATTAAAATCAACACCCTTTTGTCGTAACCGACAAAAAATACGAGTCACCATCATTAATTTTTGTCTTAAGGACGGGGAAGTAACGAATAACCTTAATTGTTTAGAGATTCTAAGTTTGCAAGTTGGTAAGACGAAGGGAAGGTGTTAGGCACTCTTCACCTCCTTTATTCTCAAGGGGCTCCACTTTTAGGTTTAGGGGTAAATCAGGAATTTCAATTTAAAAATTAATGTTTCCATATGTTTGAGAAAATGATTTTAAATTTTTAATAGCAGAAGTCGCCTTGGTTTTAACCGTGTGTCTACGTATCTCCTTGCAAAGAACCAGAGTCCAAATTCGTAGTTCATATGTTTGGTTAGTGCTTTTTATAAGATTACATAGAATTACTTTTAAATTATCTTTGAACTTTGTCTGAGTTTGAAAAGAGTGATCGTAGACAATTCGCAGTTAAGTTTGATAACAATTCTATTTAATTTTTTTATTAAAATAATCTTGATTTTTATTAAGTTAGTAGAAAAATAACAATTTGACTTGGTTAGTTATTTTAAATTAATTGATTGGAGAAGATTTGATCTTCTTTAGAATTAAATCGCGCTAGGCGAAGAAATTGATTTGATTTGTTTGTGCGTTTTAGAAGTTTTAATTTGAATAATTAATTGATAAACGTCAAGCCAATCAATTAATTATTCGAGGATATGGTGGATGTAAAATCCACCAATCCTATTATTTATAGGAATATTGAAATTAATTTGATTTGAAAAAAAAAAGTTAAATTTATGTACATGTGTTGAGAGATTAATCGGGAAAACCTAGTAATATGTACAATCTAGAAAGTTGTCCTAATTGAATATGATTACTATAATATTTATACAATGTTTTTTTTTTGTTATTTTTGCTAATGATAAAAAGTTAGACTAAAAGATCTAAACTAATCTACTCAAATAATCTACAAACTTTAATTAAAACAAATAAATAAATAAATGATCAAATAAATCATAATTTTAAAATAATAATTTAATATCAGTAATTATAATTAAAATAACCAAGAGAAATAATAATATCAATTAAAGAAACAAAAAAAATGAAAATGAAAATAATAATAATAATAATAATAATAATGATAATAATGATAATAATAATAATAATAATAATAATAATAATAATAATAATAATAATAATAATAATAATAATAATAATAATAATATTATGACAAACGAAATATTGGGGCAGAAGATTTGCTTTTGACTTTTCAAATATTTATAATAATAAGGACAAAATCGAAAGCCAAAAATAAAATTCACTTTCACACAACCTTGTATCTCTCTACGCATATGATCTTATGAACAATAATGTTTCTTTTTCAAAATTCAAAGCAGGTCGAATTGTATAACAACATATGACATCTAGTTATTATTATTATTATAATATCAAAATAAAGCTAAAAGGAAATAAATAAATAGAAATTAAGAAACAGAAAGAGAGAGAATTATGAAGAAATTGTGTGTGCAAAAGTCGGTGGAATAAAGATTAAAAAGTTCTCCTCTAAATAAA